CAGCAAAACATGGATATATGGAGGTTGAAACGTGAGATGCTGATGCAAAGAAAGGCCAATGGGTATCTCATATGCCTTCAACTGCAATTTTAGAAAAATTGTATATTTGGAAAGGCTTCCTGGCATTTGCTTCTCTTATTTTGCTGTTCATGTTGGAAGGAGAAAGGGATTATGTATGTGTGTGTGTAGAGGGTTTCCATGTGTGAGTGTGGTGTGTATGTGAAAGGAAGAATAATAGATGGGAAATTAATGCCTTTTATAAATTAAAGCATTGTATTTTCATTTTAAAGGCTATAAATGCATACAGCTCTACCTGGTTTTGGTGTATCTTCTAGCAGATACATATACAAAGCATATGCATACACATATATTACACACACATTATTGATATGGAGATTACAGGATTGACTTAACCTGGAACTGGTAATCTGAGTTTGCCAAAGTAGAGAAGCTGATATTGCACAGGATTTTAATTTGTTTTCATTTTTTCTATTTATTCTTCTTGTTGAAGAGTCACTCTAAATTCAAAAATGGCTTTGTTTTGAGCAATAATTATAGGCTTTTTAATATTACCCATCTTATTCAGTACTTTTGGAAATATACTATATATTATTACATTCAGTGGGAATTCAGATATTTTGTAGGGTAACAAAGCAGGACAAATATTGGAGGATTTCAATTTACTAAGAAATTATTTGTTCATTATAATTTATTATTAAATTCAAATCAAATTCAAATCCTCTAAATAAATGGACCATCTATAATAAAAACCCAAAACTGTCTTATTCCTATCTACAGATAAGATGATATTTTGATTAAAATATCAAACATTCAAGTTAGGAAGCAATACCTAATTTTAAGAATAACTCTGATATCAACTGCAATATTGAGTTCTGTGCTGCATTGTGTCATGGATTCCATCCTTACTGAATCACTCATTCTTAATAACAACACACAGAGGGAGCAACTGCTATTTTCTCATAGCACAATTGCAGGAGCAGGTTTGACTTACTTGGTAAAGTTGTTACATTCTTTAATGAAGCATCTCCTCCAATGCTGCAATGAGAAAAACAAGAAGAAAGACACCAAGCCCCTGTTAGTATAAAAGAGAATTTCTTTTTCAGGAAAAATGCAATTTAAGTAGAACAATAACTGGAACCAAGACATGCTGATATAAATAGCAGAGAAAGGAAAGGATGGACAGGACAAGGTATATTAATGTCAGACACAAACAACCAGACCCACATGTAAAGTATTTACATTAGTTACTTTATTGCTCAATGCCTATTTCACAGCAATCTTCCCAGACTGACAGTTTGCACCTGAGCTAGACTAGATAAGGTTCAACAGCATTTGGAGGGCTGGACCTTGCCATCTAGTGCCTACATAATGATTCCAGACTAATTCCCCACTTGAGTCTTCCTCCTGGCATGGCCAATCTCTCTCTGACAATAAATGAATAAGTGTTTATAGGATATTAATGCTTGTATGATCTGAGCAAGAACTGAACTTGCTAATGACCAATAGAAACCTTCACATAACATGGCCAGTGTTTCTTATTCTAAATATACCCTGATTTCTATAGAACAAAGGCAACCTTTATTTTCAAGGAATGGGCAAGTTTTAAACTTTCCTTTGCATAGCAGATCCAGCATAGCAATTATAAAGAGATTCAGGAGTTAGACCTCAAAAAAATCTGAAAACTGTAACCCTACAGGGAAAGGAATATGGACCCATAGTATTCTTAGCATATCAGCAAATAACAGCTTTCTAGATTTTTGAAGTGTCATTTCAGGTAAACCCTTTAAAACTGGTATTATTTTGCCCCATAGATATAGAACACATGGTGAAACTTTAAAAATGCAGAATGAATAAAAATGGCCTTCCTGCTGAATGGTTTGATGCTTTTTTTACAAAATGTTCAGAAATAGCCTAGTTGAGTGTACTTTGGTCTTCTGAAACAGCGCTCAACCTATGTCCAGCAACAATTCCTTTGATAGGTCACAGGCACATAGAAGCAGCACAGACGGGAATGGCACACAGCTCTTGTTCTTGCTCTGCATCTGTTGCCTGACGGGCTATTTCTAAACATGGGTGCAAAGCTCTTCTAAAAGAATGTGAATCCAGCTGACAGGTAACATTCATAGAAGGGAATATGGGGTTGAAAGGAAATGGAGTCTAGTTCATAAGTAACACACAGCCTGACAGTTGCAACGGCCTCAGACGTGTCCTGGCAGTGATCTGATCAAGGCCATACTGTAGTTTTAGCACTCATCTGTGAATCTATTGCAATAATAAAAGTTATAAAACCAGGATGAAGGCAGTGTTACAAGAAGCATTGGGAGAACTTTCTCCCATTATACTCTGGGTCTCTCTTAGGTGCTACCATCTGTTGGCTGGGTAACTTGACAGGTGGATAAACCTACTGTTCTAAGCATTTATCTAAACTGGCCCCAGTCCAGAAAGAGAGAAGGACAAGTGCTTGTTTTCTCCACCAGCTGTGAAATTAACCCAAAGGACTCCATCAGCTCCTAAACTGGCAGTAAGCAAGCAAGGACAGCGCCATCTGCTGTGCTTGTTATTATAGCAGAATATTATAGCAGAATATTGTAGCAGACTTTTCTGCTGACTCAAGGACGGATGAATAACACTTTAACCAGCCATGACTTGAGCCCAAAGACAGCAGACTTACCTCCAAGCCAGACCCCGATATTGTGTATGCATATCCCACATATCATTTGGTGCTGATCCTATTCCAATACCAGCCTATCTCAGAAAGAACAGAAAGAACAATTTCATTTATGTATTTTGTGTTTTCTTTTCCTTTTTTATTGTTCAAATAAAACTATCCCCTTAAGTCTTTGGCACTTACAACATAATAATAATAATAGCCTTTATTGTCATTGTACATTATGTATACATGGAAATTGGTTTAGCCTCAACTAGTGCAATCCATAACAAAATACAAGATAATACAGTTCCCATGGGCATCTGACCCTTTTTAGTCATTATTATATAATTATATACCTAAAAATGTGAGATCACAGATGCCAGCTCTTTAACTATTGTTAGCCTTCATATCATCACGTTCTTCCCAAGAATCTAGTCTGTCGTAATGTATCCACATAGTACATATGAGAATCCAAGCAGTGTGGCCTTTTGTAAATGAGATGGAAATTTTGTCAAACACACTATTTTCTAAGTGCAGCCCAAAATTTATTTTTATAATTGGTCACACAGTCGGCCAGATGTTTAGCTGGATTTGGCATTTTTATCCACCCATCATTATTATAACCCTCCCTTGCTTGGCATTTTGAAAGGTTTGAAATAGGGGAGGCATACATCATGCCCCATCAACAAGATTTATGGATGCACAAAGTGGTGTTTTGAACTCTTATGAGCAGGAGGCAAGATTAATGGAGCAATATAGTGAGAAATTCATCGAGAAATGATACACTATCAGTTCACTGAGCTCCTGTACTGCTGTTGTCCCATTATTTATTCAAGTGAAGCTGAATGGAGGGAAGTCAGAATGAGGTTGATGCTTATGTGTAAAGGTGAAACAAAAACAGAATACTGCTTGGTAGTCCATAAAATGCAACAAAGAGACAAAATGAAGATGACTGGGGGGAACAATGGCACAATTTAGATATGGGTGCCCCTCATTTAGGCGACACCAGGACATCTTCTGCACTGTGTTTCCCTCCCATTCTGGAACAATCAGGGAATCCTGCCACCTTAATTCTCCCTCCCATCCCACCTACACAAAATGAGCACTTAGAATGCATCCAAAACAACTGAGCTACACCTGTTCATAAAGCTTTAATACCTGACATTCTAAGGGCCATGATCCTTCATCTGAAATCCCAACTCTTGCTATGAACTTTTAAAGTTGGTGCATTTGCAAAAAAACAAGCAAACCCTTCCCCAAAACCAACAACTTGATTTTGGTTTTTTCTGACTGTCAGCCTCTGTCATGCTTTATATTAAAATAACAGTAACTTAAAAGTCTTTTGCCACTCATACTAATAGCCCAACTTTGCTCAAGTTCAGGCAGTCAGGAATAAACTAACAAGAATGATGAAGTTTTCCTTTAGAACTCAAAACAGCTGCTATCAATGCCTGATTAAATTACTTAATGACATTATTAAGGCAGTCAGGTTTGTTGAAAAAGCCAGGCTGGATTTACATGAAAATTTGAGCCATAATGATTTGATTCATACTGAGAGGGAGGAGGGGAATCTCATTAGGGCTGAGAATTATGATGAACCTAGGCTATATTTCCATAGTGGGAGCAGCCAGCACATGGACCTCTGCTCTGTATTTAAATAAACAAAGGGAACTGCAGCTTTCCTAGGAAAAGAATGGCAAAAGAAGCAGGCTTCTTACAGTCAGGGAATCTCCCAAGGCAGCTATTACTTGCACATCAGCTGGTTTTAGGCTATGCACTGGGAAACAAAAAGAACAAAGAACAAAGAAAATAAACGTTGTAATTAAACATCTTGCAGGAAGCAGAATTCAATTCTTGCTAATTTCAGCATAAAAAAGGCCTTACTCATAATTTTTGGAAGACATGTCTTCACAATGTCACCTTTGTTTCACCCCCAATTCTCTACAGAGGAGCATACCTTTCTCCTCCTATTTTCCCCTCAACAACAACCCTGTGAGGTGGGTTGGGGTGAGAGAGCATAACTGGTCCAAAGTCACCCAACTGGCTTTCTGCTTAAGGGAGGATAAGAATTCACTCTCCTGCTTCCTAGGCTGGTGCCTTTACCACTAGATCAAATTGGCTCTCTATAATATCTTAGGCACGTTAATGGTCATTGCCATGGATCATAGCTGCAACTTTATCTAATAAAAAGTATGGGTGACTGCTGAAAATACAGCAAAATATGTTCAGAAATTGATACTTTATATTATCTTTTGGCAGGAGAAGCAACATCTAAATTCATCCTTAGTGATTTCTCTTGATGATCTGGTGTCAAACAGCTAAGATTACCTGAAGTAGGATATTCAATGGATGGTGCTTTATCCTTGCACCGCATCTGGCTTCCATAAACTGGAGTATTTTCCTTGTGGTAAGTATAGTTGCTGTTTTTGTATGTCATTAAATATGGCTGGTCCTACAGAACAGGGATAGCCAAGTCAAAGTGAAAAGATGATCCCAAAGCGCCCTCCAGAGGCAAGTCTTGTCTTACAAATAACACAGATACTGTAGTCCTCTGTACCTCTGATTAGGGACCAACCAGATGAGATAGGAGGAGATTATGAGATCTCAGCAATTTTAACAGGATAAAAGCAGGCGGTGTTTCTCAAGCAGAAGTCAACTGCCCTCATATTGGTCTTTATATCTAAATCTCTCTCACATTTACCCCTACCATCTCAATTACTGTTGATCTTTAGAAGAAAATACACAGGTATTTGGTGGGATGAATAACTGCTTAAGTATGGGATTCAAAGGGGTTACCTGCCCTTCAAAATCACAAACTGATTTGATTAGTCTGATAAGAGGAGCTTCTGTTAAACACACACACACACACACACACAATCCAGAAAACATATCATGCAGCTCCTGATATCTTGTTTTATTAAGCCAAGAACTCTGGGTGGTACTTTCTTCTAGAAATCATCATGATTGCCTAGACCAGTATATTTTCCAAGAGCCAATATAGAAAGCCACCAATTTTAGGCAGTCAATGCGGTGCAACACCTAAAGAAGACCAACATGAGACTACCTTCTCTTCAGTGGTGGGTTTCTATCAGTTCGCCCCGATTTGGGTAAACCGGTAGTGGTGGCGGCGGGAGGCTCCACCCACCCACCCGGATGTCATCACGGATGCTCTACACACGTGCAGAAGGTTCTGCGCATGCGCAGAAGTGCCATGCGCGAGCGAAGCAAGCGTTCCAAACCGGTAACGAAGGTAAGTGGAACCCACTACTGCCTCTCATCCATCTGCCTTCCAGGTGTTCAGACATCACAATGGTAGACACTAGTGAAATATTAGGTCCTTGGAGTGAGTAAGGGATTCTAGTGAATTCAGATGGAGCCACATCAACACTTCCCCTCAAGTCATCTCTCACTTTCCAGATATATATACCTTTTCTGATGTCTGATTTTATGCACAGAAGTTCCTCACTGAGGTTAGTGAAGTTATAGGACAATTCTCACTTCTATTACATATGTTAGTGTCAGCATCCAGTCAAGGCTAACCCAGATAATTTTGCAATTGAATATTTCTTTCTATTTTGTAGGATTTATACAGTTCACAGAAAAGAAACAGGATGGGGGTGGCAATATTAATCTCACATGCACAGCAAGGATGGGAAAGAAAATAATACTGGAAATTACACAGAGTCCTAAGAAAATTAATTTACCTGGTTTGGACATTTGAGTGTTATCTCAGCTTCAATTCTTTGCAATATTGTCTTTTCTGCAATGGGCTCCAACTATAACAAATAATTAGAAAATGTATAGGGCATGGAAGAGGAGATGAAAAACAAAAGATGCAGAAATGTATGCCATAAATCATTACAAAGTGCAATCCACAGAGCCTTCAGAGAATTAGATAATCAATACATAATTGATGTTTGAACTATAATTATCTAATTCTGCAATTTTTAGTATATTAAAGATATAATGCACAGGGGAAATAATATTGCAGCAGAAAGTCTGGCTCAGATCTTTTTTAGGTAAAAGGATTGTGTTGATACAGATGCTGCACCCCATAGGTAAAACTTAACGAAGTAGGACAATTGATTTTCAAATTAAATAGCTGAACTATTACTCTAGAAGAAATATTGCAAATATTTTGCTGTGTTTCCCCTGGTATTGTAGTGCAACCAATTACCCATTCGTGCAAAGTTCATCTCATTCACCTCTTGGAACCATTACCGTGTTTCCCCGAAAATAAGACCCTGTCTTATTTTGTTGAACCCTGAAATAAGCGCTTGGCCTTATTGCCATGCGCTCAAAAGCCCGATTGGGGTTTTATCAGGAAATGTCTTATTTTGGGGGGAAACAGGGTAGATAGAGTGTTAATTTGTATACTCTGCAATTTACTAGCTGGGGAAGAGGGAAGAGGATCTATGACAACTCACCCCAGCAAACTTGTTGTAGCCAACTCACCATGGTCAACTAGCCACAGCTAATTCACCACAGCCAATTTGCCACAGCCAACTCACTGTGGAACAACTTACCATAGCTAACTCTCCGCAGGACAACTTGCCTTGGGACAAGAGTTACACTTCCGTGTTTCCCCAAAAATAAGACCGGGTCTTATTTTCTTTTGACCCCTGAAATAAGCGCTTGGCCTTATTTTCGGGGAGGTCTTATTTTTTCCCCATGTACCGGGGGGCGGGGGGCGGGGGGGAAGCTGCCCCTCTTGCCAGCAGCTTGGTCTGTGGAACAGCTGATCAGCGGGTGACCTGCCGCCACCTCGAAGAATCCCAATCGCTCTTGCAGCCGATTGAGGTTGCAAAAGCAGCAGGAGGCCCCATGTGCCTTATGCTCCCTTCAAGAACAGTTTTACCTCAATCAGCTGCAATGGCCTAAGTTCTTGGTGCACTCCAATCCCCATCTGCCCTGCTTGCTGGCCCTGCTGCTCCTGGGACACTTTTGGCTGCTGGCAGCCGAGCGGCTGCCTGTATTGCTGCTGGCCTTGTGGGGGCTTTTCGCCTTCCTGGCAGCACTGCTTTCGGCCATCCTGCTTGGCTGCTCCTGCCTGGTATAACCCAACAGGGCCAGGGTCTGAAGAGTAGCTCATAGTCCAGCTCAAGCAGCACCAAGTAGACTTGCAGGAAGGTCCTCAGCAGCCTGAAGGTGGTGGCAGGTGAGGCGGCATGGCTCTACCAGTGGCCTCTGATGAAGGGGCCCTAGCAGGCCAGCGGGGCGGGAGGGCGCTCAAAAGATTGTAGATCTCAGCTGACTTCACCCCGTGCCAGGCAGGAGCAGCCCAAAGCAGTTCTGCCAGGAGGGCGAAGAGCTTCCACAAGGCCAGCAGCAACACAAACAGTTGCTGCAAGCAAGTGGCGAGCATGCCAAAAGTGAAAAGTAGGATTCAGCTCTTTCTTGAAATGTGCTTGCAGCAGCTCCTGGACATGGAGTGGGCGGCCCCATGCCTCTGACTGCTGCCAATGCCTTCTCCCTTCCTAAACACGCCAGGATTTAATCTGAATACTCTAACACCGGCAGCAGTGAATGCTTCCTGAAAGGGGGGCAACAAATGGGAAGGGCGCCTGGACTTGCAGCGCTTTGTTTGATTCAGACACTGCTGCTGACTTGGTAGGAACCTTTCTTGTTCTGTAACCTCTTTTCCTTGGGGCTCCCTGCACAAATGCACATCCATGGTTTCAGCATAAATCATCCCCAAGGAAAGGAGGATCAGCAGGAAAATGGGAGAGGAGGGATTCTCCTGCCGATCCTCCTTTCCTTGGGGATGATTTATCCCCAAGGAAAGGAGAACAAAGCAAATCCATTCATTCTAACTGCATATCTACATGCTGGTGGAAAGTTGGTTGGGTGAGCTACTGCTTCGGTGGGCAACAGCTCCGTGGCAGCCCTACACGTCCCTGTAGGAGTCCCTGCACTGGGACAGACAAATGGAAGAGGGAGGGGAGATCACCCCTTCCCTCCTCCATCCCACTGCAGGGCCACCACTGAGCTCTTGCCCACTAAAACTACAGGGCAGCCAAGAGCAGCACAGCCAGGAGTGTGAAGACATTCGGTCTCAGTGGTGTGGCCAGGCTGATAGCATGGTGCAGAGCCCTGGGAAGCATGGCTGGAAGCACGTGCATGGTTGTAGGGATGAACAGCTGACAAGCAGCTGTGTTGTGCCAGAAGTAGCGTCACTGCCATCGCCTCCCTGTTCTTTGCACCAGCTGCGCACCTCGTTGCCTGCTGGTGCCACTCATGGCCAGACTCGGCCAGAAGAGTGGCCTGCTAACAAGTGGCTGGCCAGCACTGTCCTGAAGTGTCCTGCCGCTGCCGCAGCCTTGCTCATCATTGGACTCACCAGCTTCAATGGTTGCAGCTCCATGCCCCCCCCACCCCCAGGTATGGCAAGCCCCAGATCGGGACTCAACAAGGGGCCCTCAGCTGCGAGGTTGCCTGGTGCCGCAGCAGGGCTGGGGCTGGCAAGTGTGCGCAAGAAATACCTCCAGCACCCAGAGAGATAGAACAAGAGGTAGCTCCTGATCAGCTCAGCTGATCCACAGGTCGTGATTAAGGGGCCCAGCTGCCATTAGCTGACTGGGAAAGGGAAGGGCTGCCTCCTGTGCTGGTCATGCCCACCCCTTCACTAGGGTTTATTTTTGGGGTAGGACATATATTAGGCTCACCCCAAAAAATCAAGCTAGGACTTATTTTCCGAATAGGTTATATTTTCGGGGAAACATGATATTATCGAGGAAATAATCCAATAGATTCATTAAAGAAAGGATGCCAAATGAAGGACAAAATAAAATGTGAAAATGAAAAATTAAAATATTTTAAAAATTATTTTAAATAAGTAAATTGAATTGTTGAATTGTCCCACAGTGAGTTGGTCAAGGTAATGATGATTTAATAGCTGACCAACTGCTGTAATGCTTTAACAATTATGCAATGGTAGCAATGAGTCAGCAGGATTATTTGACTACTACCACTTTAAGAGGCTGTAATGTAAGAGAGGTCCTGTGAGGATGTATCTCTCTCTCCGTGTGTGCTTCGGTGCTGTAGTTGATGATTGATTGCCTTACTTTGCCTAGAACGTGTATGTATATATTTCTTGTAGATAAACCACTATTTGAAAGACAAACCTGTTTACTGTATTTTGCTCCTGGGTTGTCTCAAAATAGTCACACTGTGTGCACTCTGACAGAATTGTCCCATGGCGAGTTGTCCTGCAGTGAGTTGGCCATGGGTAGTTGACTGTGGCAAGTTGGCGGTGATGAATTGGCTGTGGAGAGTTATCACATTCCAGAGGGAAGCACCTAATTTAAGAGGATTCTTGGCAGCTCACCGTCTCACAATGGTGGTATACATGCAATTAGGAGGGTTTGGGTGGGAATAACAATGGCTGTCAAAAGTAGCATGGAAGCATCTCAACAAAGGCTTCCTAAGTCTTATGTTCTTAATAATCTGCAAGTGGACAGCCAGTTAAAAATCCATTGTGACACTACCTATGCAATGAATGTGATTCACTAACATCTTTCCATAATCAGAAAACAATGATTTTCAGGATGGGTAACTCCTGTTAGGTTTTGTATTGTATGTTGTTAATACAAAATGTCCACATTCTGAGATTTATGAATGGGACTAAGAGAAAAACATCTAGCACAATCTCTTACCATGTTGTTCCACAGCCCCCGAGCAGCCTGGGTGTGGCTCTTCTGGTGGAAATGAAAACAGTCTGGGGCAAAATATGAAGCATCTGGCAGCCCATCCTAAAGTAAGAATCAGACATTATTATTTCTATAAGGGTAACTCTGCTGACTTGTTCCAGCAAAGCAAAAATGTGTTGCTGAAAATATTTTCAAGAACTAGAGCCCATTTCACTTGAGGGACAGAAAAAAACCAGTAAAAATGGAAACAAATGACTATCCAGTTCAAGATATTCCATCTATATATATACAGAATAAATATATGCTGTACATGACAAGCTTTGAATAATTTGATTGTTAGATTACATAAGAACAACAACAAACTAACAAAGTTGGAAGGGACCTTGTAAGTCATCTAGTCCAGCCCCCCGCCCAAGCAGGAGACCCTACATAATTTCTGACAGATGCCAGTCTAGTCTCTTCTTGAAAGCTTCCAGTGATGAAGCTCCCACAACTTCTGATGGCAAGCTGTTCCATTGGTTGATTGCTCTCACTGTCAGAAAATTACTCCTTATTTCCAGGTTGAATCTCTCCTTGTTCAGTTTCCATCCATTATTTGTTGTCTGGCCTTCAGGTGTTTTGGAAAATAGCTTGACCCCCTCCTCTCTGTGGCAGTCCCTCAAATATTGGAACACTGCTATCATGTCTTCCCTGATCCTTCTTTTCACTAGACTAGCCATGCCTAGTTCTTGTAACTGTTCATCATATGTTTTAGCCTTCAGTCTCCTAATCATCTTGGTTGCTCTTCTCTGCACTCTTTCTAGAATCTCAATATCTTTTTTCTAGTGTAGTGACCAAAACTGGATTCAGTATTCTAGTATATCCCATCTTTCTTCTTGAAGCTGAAGGTGATATATTGTGCTCCCTTTTCCACTTTCATCTCTACAACTAGGGATAAAGAGATTGGCCTGACAGTGTGACTTACCCAAAGTCACTTAATTATCTTTGATGTTTGAAGATAAATTTGAATCAGAATTTTCATGGTCAGGTCCTATATTTTAACCACTATATCCTACTGGTTATCTATATATACCCTGTTTTCCCGAAAATAAGACATTCCCTGATAATAAGCCCAATCGGGCTTTTGAGCGCATGCGCTAAAATAAGCCTCCCACCCCCCGAAAATAAGCCCTCCCTGAAAATATTTAAACGCAGAGCTGGAAATCAGGTAAGACAGCAAGAGGAGCCCCATCTCGCTCCACGCACACCAAAATAATAAGACCTCCCCAAAAATAAGGCCAAGCGCTTATTTCGGGGTTCAAAAAATATAAAACAGGGTCTTCTTTTTGGGAAAACACAGTAGCAAATTGAAATCCAGTCCATACATGCCAAGAAATGTGTGCATTTAAAAAGAAAATATGCTTAATGTGACTAATTTTATTTTGAAGAGATGGAAATCAGAATAGTGATCTTTGAGAGAAAGCTGGCAGGGTCCTGCAATACATATAACACCATATTTTTATAAGAAAACCTTTAAACTTTTTAAGTGGCTAGCTTGTGTATTTTAATGAAAAGTCTATTTCTTATAAAGTTTGGCTTAGGGTGAAAATAGGCCAAACAAATTTACTCAAAAGAGGAATAATTTCTATCTGAACACTACTAAAGAACCTCTTCAAAGTTTGGTAATTCCAAATTGAAGGTATTGTCCATGTCTTATTGAATTGATTTAGGAGCAATTTACAGTATTGTAGCCCTGTTCAAGTGATATGTTTCCATGCCAAATTCAACACTTAAGTAGATATCATTGAAAAACCAGTGTCAATGGATATAACATTATCTTCAGTCAGGACTCTCTGTGGTCATACATTAGTTTCCATATGAACTAGAAGACAATGTTCCTTATGTGTTCATTATGGAATCATATCACCAAAGAACAGTAATACCTCACAACTGAGTTGATGTGAACATTCTGTGCTTGGTGGATTTATTTCATAACAATAGATGGATGATGCTGTAAATTTTTATTGTAAAAATCCTGAGCAACTCTTGCCCTAGAATAAAAGCAAGGACTACTGGACAAATACAGTATAGTATTGTAATGCTCAGGTGAGTAAGTGAAAATATTTCAGAAAATAAATCTCAGATTGTTTTTACATGCTTTAAAACAGGAATGGACAATGGGATGCATGCAGTCTTTTAGGACCTTGAGATCAAGCTGCCAGAATTCAGTTCCAAATAGACAAATGCAATAGTAATCTCAGGCCAATCTGATGAGAATTTCATAGGACTATAACTTAATTTACCTGAGGGTTAGCTAATTAAGGTTATGCTTTATTCTGTTGACCATTAAGTCATAGTTGCTTGCAACCATCACAGCTTTGCTATCCTACTCCTGCCCAAGTAATTCCCAAACTCACTATACTATGAGTTGGATTCAGACACAGTCAAATGTAAAGGTAATCATTGAACTCAATGGCATTTAAGTTAGCTAGGCCCCATCTATGATTTACAGTTCTCAAAAATGTAGTACATGTATACATTTGCAATTACCGGAGTCATAGGCATCTCTGCTTTTTCGAGCAGTGGCTGCACAACCACAGTGAAATCTTCTCTTGTGTCATACCTTCCACTCTCGACTAAGCGATGAGTATCTTCCTAGCAAAACAAAACCCCATTATAATGTTCCTTTTAGAGCTGCTAAACAGTGAAATGACAAGCTGATATGTCTGTCAAAGAGATGTCAAATACAGGAATAATATTCAACCATTTCTTTGATTTATGTGGGGAAAATTGTCAATTTTTCAAAGCATCTTAATCTGACTCCTAATTGTCTATACTCTTATAGACCTTGAAACTCAGAACTACGCAATAAACAGCACAAGCCCATTAATTCTTTCCCCCCCTCCAGCTGACCTATAAGCATGGTTACCCATCCATTGAACTACCAAAGGCCATGGAGTAAAAATTAATCCTTTTCCATCCCACAATTAATCTGATCCATGGTTTTTCAGTACATGTGTATTATATACATTTAGTGATTTACAATTTGTCTTTCTCTTGCACACTCATGCATAGATACACATAAAAGTTGCTAAGATGAGAAGCTATATATGGGTTCATTTGAAGTCCTCCAGATGATCCCCAATCTGTCATTTCATTGTCGCCTATGATTTGAGATGAATTCCAAACATACATCCATGAAAAACCAAAAATTCAAAAGTAGAATTTTATTTGAGATTAAATGAAAGGAGCTCTGAGATGAAAGGAAAGGAGAGCAATGGCAGTGTTGAAAGTAGAAGCCAGGAGGAAGGAGGAAGCAAAGAGTTTGTTCCAATAGAAAATAGTCAAGGCCTATGGAATTGCAGGAGTTCAAAGGGAGGGAAAAAAAAGACCTCTGACTGGCCCCACCCCCATCTATTCTCTGCTTCCCGAGTCCCAGCTGATTGGTAGAGAATGGGGATTTTGCAATAATCTTCCCCTGGAGTGGGTTGGGAATGGAGATTTTACAGTATCCTTCCCCTGCCATGGCCACCAAGCCACGCCCACCAAGCCATGCCACACCCACCAAGCCATGCCCACAGAATCCATAGTAAAAATGTTTGAATCCAACCACTGCTGATATGGTCTTGAGGCTCTACTTTTCACAACTTCAATTTCTCATTTCTGTTACAGGATCTTTTCCTCAGATTCCCAATAATAAATGAAATTGTACCTTAAAACAGTACTCCACCGCATTTTTGCCTCCATTTTTGTAGACAACTTTTCTTTGCTGTATGTCAAACTGAGTCACATTTCAAAGCCCAAGTCACTGGGCTTTGCTTCTAACGAGGCATCTGATATTTATTGAGCACACAGCAGCCTTTTCAAGTCTATTTGTTCTATCTAACATTGGATGAATTGTTGCATTATTCTTTGTTTTCAATATGTAATGTACCAAAATGAAGCAGTGGACTTACAGGCTTTAAAACAGGTTAAGATAATTTCAGTTAGAAAAACACAGTCTCTCTTTTCTCAAGTGAGCCAGTATTTTATTGGCCAATTATATAACACAAAGTATTTTTAAACAAGTTTGATGGAGCCTATTTCCATGTTAAGTGTATAATTGCAGCTTTCAGTCACTTGCACTTAATGGAATTATGATGTATTTCCATTTATGTCAAACCTTTTTGAACTTTTACTTACAACCTGCATAGGATTGGGCTGTGTGTTTCATTGATAAAAATTAGCTTACGTGATTATTATCTAAAGTTGGCCCAGGAATGCAAAGAAGCTTTTAAATGAAGGTGTGAAAAAGACCAAATGTAATTTTGATATTTTAAGTCACTACTTATTATTTTTAAATTAACTTGCTTTTCATTGTTAAAACCAAATCCAGAAGCAGAGTTAGTAAAATGGGAAAAATACCTAATATGTTCATGCTTGGTTTTTAAAAGGATGAGGTGTAGAACACTGCTGTATATTATTTATAATGCATTTTCCTTACCTGATACCTTCGATTTAAAAATGCCAAGTTCTCAATTTCAGAGGAATTATCCTTAGGTTTGAAAATGCATGGACAGATTGACCTAGAGGGGAAAAATGGCACATGTTGACCATATTCTCTTATCTCAGACATTTTTAAAAATGGAAAACTTTTCACTTTTCATGTCCCATAACTATGTTTCATGTGACACATGCTGTGAAAAGCATGTTATGCTCAAACAATATTTCTATAGAGATTCTCAATCATGCAAGTCATGGTTGTCCCAAAGGCAGTTTTTCAAAAAGCAACTAGACTTTGTTTTTCCTTGAAGACATTTCACTTTTCATCCAAGAAGCTTCTTCAGTTCTGATGGAGGATGGAAGGATTTATATTGCTTGTAGTCATCTGCTTGTTAGCATTCTTTCTGAGAGTTATTGAGGCCACTTGAATGTTTATCTGTGCCCTCAGGGTCACCTGAATAATGCAAATGGGTGTGGAATCTTCTTGGAACAGCTGAAAGTATTGCAGTACAATACAGTGAGACATGTACAGATCTGTACACTGGAGAAACAAAACAACCACTTTACAAATGCATGCCACAACAGAACAAATCAATCAGTACAAGATTCAGCAATCCATCTGCATTTGAAAGACACTCTTTTGAAGATAGCAAAGTCCACATTCTTGACAGAAAGGACCACTGGCTTGAAAGAGGGGTCAAAGAGACTATCTACATCTCTTTCAATTAAGATTGAACATCCCTCTCCCAAGAAAGGGGGAGAAATGCAACACTACCTATCTCCTGTCTACAGCATATTCCTTTCAGCAGTTCCAAGAATGTTCCAAACCCATTTACATTACAGATAAACTTTCAAGTGGCCTCCATGACTCTCAGAAAGAATTCTGATGAGTAGACAACTGCAAGAAATATAAATCTTTCCATCCTCCACCATTCAGTCAGAGCTGAAGAAGCTTCTTGGATGTTAAGTGAAATGTCTTCAAGAAAAAACAAAGTCCAGTTGCCTTTTGAAAAAGCACCTTTGGGTCAAACAATATTGACTCCTCCAGTTGAATTGCTTAAGTATAACACATGATTTCATGGAGAATGGTTTTTCTGTAATACTCTGTACTTCTTGGATTTGAATCATTGTTCTTTTCTATGAATAGAAGCCTCACAGTGGATTGTTCAGCATATACCTGCCACCAGAAAAAGAATGGGGAAATGCATTTTTTATCTTCCATTGCAAACCTTTGTATCTTCTATGGCAGGGGTATCAAACATGTCATGTCATCATGTGACGTATCATGATGTTTTCCCCCTTCACTAAAATTGGGGTAGGCATGGCCAGCACATGAGGTATCTGGCCTACGGGCCACGAGTTTGACACCCCTGCTCTATGGAGCAGATTTGATGACAAACCACCCCATAATCTATGACCCTTCCAAAACTATTTCTATACATTTAGATAAATAGTGTGTACTTGGTTTATATTTCCATATTTCAACAATCAGAATTAGTAAAAAGCAATTGCTTAAGTTTATAAGGAGCTACAATCAGCACAGATACTAGAGATTTTTCCCAGTTCCAGCACAATATCAATTCATTTCAAACCTCATAATCAGTCTTGGGCAGTCAGTGCTCTTCTCCTGATACAGTTTCCTCACAGGTATCACATCAAGTATTGTTACCAGGTTCACAAATGTATGAGGTACCTGCAAAGAGGTACATGTAAAACAGAATAGGTGGTAGCAATTTAGAAGCCAGGTGGTTTCTAAATTGCCAGTTCTTATGGGAAAAGTAACTATAACCAGGCAGAAACACTTCTCATCCCCATTTCCCCCATCCATTCATTCATTAACTCACAACTTTACTTACAAGCATCCAAACTGGTGTTTGCAGCTGATTGTGATAACTGAGCCACACCCTGAAATTTTCTCCACTCAGACCCTTAGCTTACAAAAGCAAATGCTAAGACAAAGTGTTGGAATAGAGATTTGGAGGTCTTCTAATCCAAGCCCCTGCCCACAGCAGGAGATTCTATAAGGTTCTGGACAAATGGCTGTCCAGTCTCTTCTTAAAAACTTATGGTGATGAAAGGATTTGTGGAGCTAAGCTATCCCATTATTTATTGTTTTCATTGTCAGAAAATTTCTTCTTAGTTCTAGGTTGGATCTTGGGCAATATCTGGAGATTGGCAGCTATTACAAGTAGGCAAGGGTACTCTAATTCAACTATCTGGACCATAAGCTACAGGGAATAGTATATCCTCGTGGTAGTCTCACTTGGACCTGTGCCAGGAGTTTGGCAGCAACTAGAAGGGGAGCAACCACACTGAAACAGCCCCTGATCTTTAACTATCAGTAACTTATCCTAACTTTCAGAAGAACTTTTGGAAAAAGGCAAAAGTTATATACTATTATATACTAATAGGCTGTACACCGCCCTGAGTCCTTCGGGAGAAGGGTGGTATAAAAATAAAATTATTCTTATTCTTATTTTATAGAATTTGGGGCATTTGTCTGAACTGAACACGACTGAGTGTAAAGGACTGAGTGTTAAAGATACATTTACGTAGCAACAGCAACTTGGAAGTCCAAGTCCAAGAAGGACGAAGTTTACCCAGAGCAATAGCTTGTTGTTGGGGGAAGTTGTCTTCTATACCGCCCTTAAGCATTCTGTATTGATTTGCTATGCCATGGTGTGTCCAATCCTTGGAAAGAAAAAAACCCTTCTAAACCTAATCTTAATAGTGAAGATTGAGGCTCAATATTTTCTTTTTCAGTGGACAAAGTTCAGCTGATAAAATTCGAAGCAAAAGATCCCTTGGAAAACAGCAAGTTATAAATATAATTGTCTCTCCCTGGCTGATTTTATTAAGATGTCTAAGGAAAGTTCTCCAGATGAATGATTTCAGTTGGCAATCATGTATACCCATGAGTGCTGATCTGAATCATGCTTATCCATAAATGCAATTAAAGATTGAGAGGCAGGGCATACTGAAAAGTATGTGACAGCCATAGATAGAGCCCATGGCTGCATTGAAGACTATACATCACAATCAGAAAACTCAGATCAAATCCAAAGTACTGTCTAATTTGTAGGACTCATGGCTCAGGAACCCTGCATCTGAGGGCTTGCCTACCCTCTCACAGGTTTATAACAATACCAAGATTTTAAACATACATTCCTTTTGGAAAATCTCCACCATTTAAGTTTTGCTCTTTTTAGATCTGCTGTGAAATACTCTCTCCAAAGGTGCTCATTCACCTGCTCCCTATTTTAATTAGCTTTAAACCATTTAAAATGTTGGCAGTCCTCAAAAGCTTTTGAGAAGCCTTTCAAAAATAGGAGTCAATAATGCAAATGAATTGAGTATATTTAAAATTATGGAAATAAAGAATGCCAAAATTTCACCATACTTTGGGGACTTTTTTTTTTTTTTTTGCAATATTTGATGACCTTATGAGATCTGGGCCCCTTTATTTTATTTTTTTTAAATTATGTTTGCAGTTACAATACTGGAAACCATCGCCTTAAAGAAACTATTGATTCTAATAATTCACCCAATCATTTCCCCTTTTAGCAGAGACTCCTTTGATACCTCTTTATGAAGTATATCCAGAGCTGATTGTATATTCCATATGTAGTACTCCGGAGAATTACGTATCTATGAAAGAAAAGGATAACGAATGATGAATTTTGTGCAAAATAAGATTCTCATAGCTCTTTCTTATCACATCACTATTTATGCACATTTGGCAATTGAAAGTTGCAATTTATACTAATGTGCACCTTTCACAAATGACATAATGGCTGCCTTTCCACGATATTTTTGACATAATCCAGTTGTTTTGAAGCACCCAGACATAGTAATTGGTTCAAAAGTAGTAATGAGCTTCAATCTGAATATGAACCATGGCAAAGAATGGGAGCAATTTAACATTCCAAACGAAACTTGTCTTACAACTGAAGCATTCCTGGAACACTTCACATCACTTTCATTTCAGAGGGTTTACCTCAGGAAACCATTAAACTGCACCCTCAGAAAAGAATGGTCTGAAGAACAACATGGTCTGGAGACAAACAGAATTTTCTAAATAGTAAGTCAAACATTTCTATTTTGTAAATAGAGAATCCCTGCACAGATTGTTTCTTATGTTCAACGAGCTTTTCTGCCTAGAAACTTTAGAAAAGTCTCCATGGCATCACTATGGTTCTTTTTTTGATGTCTCAGGCTGACAGCAGTGAGTATGGAAAAGAAAGAGAGGGAAGAGAAAAGAAAAACTGGTACAGCTGTAAGCTAACCTGTGAGTCTCACACATCTCTCACTCACTTAGGCTTCTCTGTGTTTTCTTTGTCCTTCCATTCAGCCATTCTATGGCTGCCATATCTGGATTATAAAAATATGGATGACCATTAGATGGCAGAAAACTGAAGTGTCCATATCTCTTTGTCATCTAGCAGTCAGCCACATTTTTGAAGCCCAGATATAACAACTGCACTACATCTGCTTTGCTATTTCCTGCCCAGCATCACCTGCCTCTCTTCTGTCCACCTCCCTCAAAGAGGACAAAGATCAAACTGTGAGGGAAAGAACTGAAAAGGCTTTTGCATCCTTCACCTGACTGTTCATGCCTGACTAACTCTTGACACCATTTCAGCAAAAAGGAAAACCAATGCTAGCTACAAGTCCTGAAAGGAGAAGAGACGGAGAAGGTACCAGCCAGCTCCAAAAACAGACCCCTTTCCATGTCATTTATACCAGATGTGCAATTTTCAAAGCATGACATGGAACTTATGAGAACTACTCAAAATTTACTATTCAAGGAAACCAGGTATGGGACAGTTTGGGCTGAATTTCCAGTATACCAGATCAAAATATGATCTACTATAGTATTTATGATGTATATTTAGAATATAATCATTATTGGGTTGTTATTAAAATAAGATTATTTTATTTACTTCATTTTATTTGGCCTTTTGGCTACGATTAAGTGTAGCACTTATTCTTATTTGTTTAATTTACTTATCCTGAAACAAATGCATAAAAATACTCAAAAATTAGAAGCTGAGCAAAACTTTCATATAAATATGTACTGTACCACCAATCTTGCTGCAGTTTGCACATGCCATGGATCATGACCAAAATAGAATTAAACCTCTAACCCAAGGGAGACTGAAAGGTTGGAGAAATCAGGAGGCCTAAATAAACATAAAATCTCTTTCATGTAGGAGCGCCAAAAAAATTATTAAAAATAATAATTAGAAGTAACATTTAAATGCTATCTAACCATTACAAAAGTAGACCTGTGAAACCCAACCCAGAAATACATATTTAATTACATTTTTCAGTATGTTGATAAGAGCCAAAAGAAAGAAAGTTTATCACTTGGAGGCATTCATAAATAAGCACTTTACTACATCTTATCATGATTAACTATAAAAAAGGGAAAATAATGTCAGTGTTTTGATCCAAGTTACACAAATGGCAGATTTTCTAGAGATCCAAACTGTCATTAAGTAAGAAAAGTACAAACCTTGCCTGTTTATTATCAGCTCTGTTGGCATCTGCCATTATCAACAGAAAATTATCTATAAAATGAAGTAGCACTGATATTCTAATCAGTGGAAGTTCTCAAAGATATGAAATTACAAGAGATAAAAAACACCTTCAGGTTGAATGACCTCAAGGCCCTGCATGGAGACATAATACTTGTTTTTGTTTAAAATACTGATTCAGCAATGACTCACTATCACCCTCTCTAAAATGCCCATGGTGCCAGGGGAAATGGCTGCCGTTGAAGGTAGTATTTTCACTGAATTAGCTACAAAGGATATAAGAAAGGGTCAGTAGCAGGTTTTGAGTCAATCCCAGTATAATTCTTCTTGAGTGGAAATGCAATGTCTAAGCCTCAATTTCTTATTAGGACAGAGAATTTGCCTGTTCGTGATCTTGTGGGAATCGAGCCAAGTTAGTCTATGGCAGGGGTCTCCAACCTTGGCAACTTTAAGCCTGGCGGACTTCAACTCCCAGAAGCTGGCTGGGGAATTCTGGGAGTTGAAGTCCTCCAGGCTTAAAGTTGCCAATGTTGGAGACCCCTGGTCTATGGTAGCTCATGAAAATTCATGCCATTTAATAAAAGTTGGAAAAGATACTACCAGAATCTTTCTGATTTCTTTTTGCCATGTTTGCAATAGCTTCCTGCGAAATGAATGAATATCTCCTATTGTCAATGTGAATGTTATTCAGCATTCAGATATAACATGGAACAATTCTAATATTAAATGAAGCCACGTGAAAGACAGATTCTATGCATATCATATTCTTACATATATCACTGAGCACTTGGAAAATTCTTACTTGCATATCTAGAGATGAGCATTTAGATCACATACATTTTTTTTAAAAAATGGGGGAGGGGAAAATGAGAAAATATATTAGAAATAACTGTAAAATATATGGAAACTTACAGGATCATCACAATTATCACAAAGGTCATTTCCTCCTATAAAAAGGGTTATGAGCTTCCAATCTTCTTGGAAATTTATATTCTGTATAAGGAGGAAAAGGAAGAGAATAGACATAAAAAAAATAAAGGAAAATACTTGAGTTAACATCTTAGAAAGAGTTAATAGAATAATTATTAGGGGGACAGTCAGTTTGTTTTTTTAGACCAGCATGTAGGTAGGAAACCAAGGCAGCAATCTTAAATGTAGTTTTAATATACTAAATCAGTTATGTAAAATGAAAAATCACAGATTTCTTTTACAGAAGCCTCTTTGAAGTCCAATTGCTACGAAGCACTGCTGCACTAAGAATGTTGCCACCGTGCCTGGTTCATTAGGATGCTATTTCCTTATGAAATTGGTTCTACATCACCAGACTTAAGAAGTGCATTGAATTGATTTGATGGCAATTAGTATATCAGTGTATTGCACCAACATTGTAATACCAAAGGGTAGTTTTTGCCTATGGAAATCTAGGGCTCACTTTTCAGTATTGCCTGTTCAATGGTCAGAGGGGACAAAACTACTAAGGGGAGTGGGGACTTCATGCATGTTTTCAAATCTAATTAGGGTTCCTGCAGTCTACTATAAGGCAGGTGACCAGGAGGAGTAGCAAGTTCCTCTAATTCAATAAATATTAATTAAACAAATTAGTTTTGCATAAATTTGGACATCGATAATATCATATAGAGATAGATAGATGAGAGAGAGAGAGAGATTATAGATAATTTGAAAATTTACAATAAAAAGGAAAGTATACTTTGCTTCTATGTGTTAGAAGGAACACTTTCTTTTGTACAAGAGCAAAAGTGGGGTACATCTTGTGAGATGGCATCTAGTGACCTCCTGTAGTTTTGCTACCTTACATAATTTTGCAAAAATATGGTTAATTGGGAATTCCAAAAGATCATGAAGCATATTTAAATCTATTTCAAATAAATGTTCTTTCAAACCAAACTCTGCTCCAGATGAGTTAATGGACACATCTCATAGTTTATGGCAGATTTTTGCCATTGTCTTTATTCAGAATAGGTTTTTTTATTCTGTAATTTTCTTATGAGTTTAGGATCTCCTACAGTCTGCCATTCAAGTCCAACTTTTATTAGCTTTTTGAGATCAGCCAAAGTTGGTAAGATGTTGCTACCAATAAGACCTTAAATTGTTAAACAGGATCAAATATATTTCTTTTCTCAGTGAAACAATTAAAGATAGCAACCAATAATTAGATACAAAAGGACAGAACCTCATCTTCCCTGTTGGTCAATAGTAAAAAGTCACAATTGCTTGTTGAAAAAGATGTTCATATCAGCAGAAACTCACAGAATCATTCTTCATCAAGTTTATTAGCCTTCTGATCTGTTGTGTGATATCACTAAAAAAGAAAATAAAGAAGGCAAACAAATATTAGGAGCAACACAGCAATTCAGACTATCATTCTGAAAACACAAAGCAGAAATAATAATTCAAGTGACATAGAGCCTATTTCACAGATAAATTTTGCAAGCAAACAATGAAGCAATTTGGAATGTATGGACAAGAATGAATAATGGCAAGGAGACCCATACAAATGACCCATAAAAGGTTACTTCATTCAGCATAAATTTATGTAGCCAGATTTTTGATTGAGCAACATGGTATCTGACACCTTGCATGCAACGCACCTACAGATTGGATCTCTCAGAGTACAGAGAGTTAGTCTGGTGTATAGCCCTTATGTGTTTCTACATACAGAATAAAGAGCAATGAGACTGCTCTTTGTTACTACATGAGAGATTGCAACAGGATTCTGTAAAATGTCTCTGCCAAATAAAGTAGATTTATTGTATCCTGTGTTTTGCTTGTAGTGCTATACACAAAAGAAAAAGGAGAAAGGAAAAAGAATCCAAATGCCAGAGTAAATACGTTATGGTTCAAAATGTGATGTGTTTCAGACAAGATTCTTTGTCAAGGATACTGTACATACTGGGTAAAACTTGTTCATGGAACTTTTTTAAAAAGGGGGTATTTATTTTGTTTTCAAAAATAGTTAATCCTTGCTATGATAGCCGATATTTAATAATGCACACCAGAAGCTGCCCATTATTATATGCAGAAACAGTGATTGTAGAGTGATAGTATCACTAGAGCATTCAAAATATAAATTTTCTCGCATTAACATGATGCACAAATGAAAAAAATATATGATTGAATACTGCTTAAGACAGTCATAAAAACTGACTCTCTTATATCCATGGTTCACATATCTCTTGACAGTTTCTCTCCAATATTGTAGCTACTTCTTCTTATTACTATCACATCTATTATATACTTATGTCTTCACCTATCTCCCCCCATCTACCCTTCAAATAAATTCTGTTAGAAATACCAGCACTTTACTTTTTTAAAAAAAAATGCAGAACTTCACATGTAGATAATGCTGCAAATAATTAAAATCAGCTTGTACTCTATTCTATACATTTGTCTTTTGTATAAACTTTGGATCTGATCAGCACTGTGCTAACTCCTTCTAGTAACCAGTTAGAAGCATACAGTCTGTATGCATAGTGTTTAACTGTTAGAGATACATTTTCTGGCTGAGCTTCAAAGAGAAGGCCCTGAGTTTGTTAGCATCTGGAAGGCCACATGTTTCCCATTCCTAAATTAGAATATAATGTATGATTGGGGAGATATGATTCATATCCCCACTTTGCTACAAATCTCATTGGTGGTTTTAGTCATTAGGATTACCTACCAGATATGAGCTTCAAAAATCTAGCATTCCACTAGATGGCAGCAAAGAGGTAAAGAAAATTCTTATTGCTACCATCTAGTAGCCACCTGGATTTTTACTACTTACTTACTACTTACTACTTACTAATACCTAGTTTTGGTTCATATTCTATATCTCCCATTCTGATCAAAAGTTGTTGCGATGGTAAATTGCTGGAGGATGAATACTTATATGCTGTCTTAGTTCTCTATGGGAAGGACAGGATATGAATGAATGAACAGGTCAGTCAATAAGTAAGTAATACTATTACAAACTGTAAGAAAATCTGCCTTAGTACAATATTTGTTATATTTTGCCACTGGCTAAAACAGTTACATTTATTTGAGACCAAATTTTCCACAAACTATATGACAATCATATAAATTGGGTTTCTCATATTTACCTGTGCAAAATGTCACATAAAATTCAGCTAAAAAGCACTGGTAATGCCAGTATTATATGTTATTCCAAAATTGGACACAGCTGGTTTAAGATGATGTATTCTTAATAGTTGTAGGGAGACATAAAGACCCTTCTTCATTAACTGTAACTGGACAGGTCGCATACAAGAAACCAGGGAATTAAATTAGTAGGCATATCAGGATATTCTAGGAGAGGGAAGTGACCACTCAGTCTTTTAAAGAATGAATAGGAAACAAAGTGCCTTTATACAAAAACTGTAAAGCTTAACTACATAAGGCAAAAGCATGCTTTAAACCAGTAAGAAATGTATCCATGGAATTATGCATTTTTAAAAGTTTTATAATCATCTCAGTATTGATATCTCCTCCTGTAGGACAGATCCAACAATCACTTTTGAAGAAGTTCTCTTTACCTATTGCCTCCAGTACTTATCAGGCATAGAACTGGTATTCCACAACACAATTCTGTGATAAATGTTAATTATCCCATATACTCCAAGATGCTTATGGACTGATTGTGGCACTACTCCCAAGGGCAGAATGTAACTAAAGGAGCTATAATTTGGACAGACTACTGGGACCTTGCTTTCCTCAAAGAAGATCTGAAATAAAACTGTTATCTGACCAAATATATTTTAGAATATTAATTGTTTAAACTTTGGTAACCAGTTAAATTTGAATTAATTTTCAGATGAATGATGCACGTGTTCTAAACTTTCCCCCCTCCTTCTTATGCCCTATGTTTAAATGTTGTGTGGTGTATCCACAAGGAAGCTAATGCTTTCCTTTCACTACATGTTGTTGTGATCCAGTTGTAAGAGGAAATTATGAGGGGTTTTTTTGTCTTGTTATAAACTATGATAGACTAAAGGCTCCAATGCCCTTCTACTCTGACATCCTCATTTCTGCTTCAGTAGAGATTAAAAACCTCTTTTAAACAAACCATGGTTTTGGAATTAATGTTTATTTTAATCTGAATTGAATTCTGATCTTCCCACTAGCTTTTAGCCAGCAGATCTTGGTTTAGAGCTATTCTAAAGGATTGGTCACTTTGATATCTCCAACAGCAGCTTAAATAGCATAAAGGAAGGCATATTCACAATAGATCTACATCCTGGTTGTTTCTAATCACCCTTTCTGGAGATAAAGTAAGGTAAAAAGAAATGACAATCTCCATGTCTCACTATGGCTCAGTTCCTAAAGTAGGAAATCTATGTTCCCTCTCAGAACTGAATCAACAGACACCATAATACAACTTCTGCTTGATCTTCTAAATGGCACTAGACAACTGGAAGTTGAAATATAAGTATTAAAATAGCTAATAACACTTGGGTTTGAAATTTATTGTTACATTAATCAGGAGCAACTTGAGAACTGATTCATCTAATCAGCTAAAAACCTTTTGATCAAGTGGTATGGCAGCACTGGTCCCATTGCTCCTTAAGCCTGGGGTTTAAAAATTTGCTGCGGGCTTTTTTTTTTTTTTTTTTCCACACACATACCTCCAATCTGGCTAAAACAGCTCAGGGAGTCTCTAGTGTGGTGGAATAAGAAGATGGGAGAAACAGAATTACATGTTGTAAAGGTACTGGGAATGGAACTTTGTTATGTTTATCTGCAGAAATAGTAAAGCAAATTTAAAAGGTGGAAATGTAAAGCTCTTCATTGAAATATCCTGGTGCTAAGCAAATAGGTTTCATAGAGCAGTTCTACACATTTAATAGCCTCCCTGCAATAGTTTTGTGTCACTACACAAGTGATTCCCTGCCACATGACTGGCTCAGTGGTGGGTTTTAAAAATTTTTACTACCGGTTCTGAGGGTGCGGCTTGGTGGGTGTGGCAGAGGAAAGATACTATAAAATCTCCATTCCCACCTGTTGTGACCCCGACTCCCGAGCCTGTCCAAACAGAAGAAGAGGACTCAGAAGGTGATGGGGAGGAACTGATAAGGCCTCCCTCTCCAGGACCCTCCTCTCTGGCAATGCCTCAGGTTCCATCCGAAGGCCAAGAGGAACAGCCTGGGATATGCCAGGAGGAAAGCATATTGGAACAACAGCAGATAGGGACCCAGGATGATGAATCCTGGCTTGATCCCAAGCAGCGTCAGAGGGAGAAGCGTGTGCAACAACGAAAGAGGCATGGGAGGGCCAGAGATTGAACTGAGTCACTGAGCCACACCCCACAAGGAATAAAAGTGGGTGTGATTGCTCTTCAGGCTTTGTGACGGTCAAAGTTAAAAACCTGAGAGTCACATCGCGTTACCTGAAATCTGGCTTGTGCATATTTGGGCTGGACCTTGGCTAATTCTTGCTTCGTGGATTACTTTTTGCTACTGAACTGGACTGAGGATAAACTCTCTCTTGCAAACTGTGAATGGAAACTGACTTGGCAGGCATTTCGCAGTTTACTGCCAAAACTCTTATCTGCAAGAGTTTCTAGTCTGATTGCTTAATAAAAATCTTGGCAGGCGTGCCTGGTGGTGTGTTTGCCTGTGTGGGGAAGGGGAACAGAATACCACCCCACTCTAGGGGAAGGTTACTGCAAAATCCCCATTTCCTCCCGATCAGCTGGGACTCGGGAGGCAGAGAATAGATGGGGGCGAGGCCAATCAGAGGTGGTATTTACTGGTTCTCCGAACAACTCAAAATTTCTGCTACCAGTTCTCCAGAACTGGTAAGAACCTGCTGAAACCCACCTCTGGACTGGCTGATCAAGTGCCTAGAAGTAACAGTAGAAACATCAGAAGCTTTCTGCAAAGATCAATGGCACAATGGAAGATATAGTTGCTAGTCAATGGTGATGGACTGTGACAGGTTAATATCAAAAGATAAATCTTTCAAGGAGACTGACTATCACCATTACTGTTTGTCATTGCTCCGATTCCTCTGTCAACAATACTGAACAAGTCAACCCATGGCGGTCAAACATCAAAATCATATATCAAGCTACCCTGCCTCTTTTACATGGACAGTCTAAAGCTGTATGGAAAAACACCCCCCTGAAATAGAATATCTGCTTAACACTGCTCACATATATAGGCAAGATATTGCAATGGAGTTGGACTGAACAAATGTTCCACTTTCATCATCAACAGGAGTAAAATAGTGAAAACTGAAAGAATCGTGGTGCCCTATGGAAATGACATCAAGAGTCTAGATGAAGAAGATCACTGCAAATACCTGGACCTCCTTCAGGCTGAAAACATCGAGCAGCCAGAAGTCAAGAAATTTCGAAATGAATATATCATGAGAGTAAAGATCTTAAAATCCAAACTCAGTGAAGGAAATACCATCAAGGCAATTAACACCTGGACAATTCCAGTCATTATATATACAGCTAGAATAGTGGACTGAACTCAAGCAGAACTAAAAGTCCTGGATAGGAAGATGAGGAAAATAATGATAATGAATCATACTCTTCATCCGCACGGCAATGGTAAAAGACTCTACTTATCAAGGAAAATAGGCCTGTGTGGAATGTTGCAAGTGCAGTAGAGGGTTGAAGAAGAAATAAGGGCATTAGAAGAATAACTGAAGGATAGTGAAGAAGGTGCACTGAAGATAGTATACCAGGAATGTTTAATGAGTACTGGAGAGACTAAATTGATTAAGTTTTGAAACTAAACAAGTCTTGGGAAGGGCTCAATTGTTGTTGTTCAGTCCATGTGATCTCATGGACATCAGCCCCCGCCCCCCTGTTCCCCACTGTCTCCCAGAGTTAAGGATTCAATTGGTGGAAAAAAACATCTGACTGACTATGCAACCAACCATAACAATAATAATATGCCACCTGACTCCCAGAAATTCTGGGCAATTCTTTGGCTCTCATGAGGTTTGTGGAATTACTTCTGCTGTCCAAATTGGACAGCAAAAAAAAAATCAGCACAGCTCCAGCATACCACTTTTGGATGTGCATGTGCTGTCATGATAAACATACAAAGGAGACTGACCTTGTGTCATGATGGCACAATACTGCTTTTGTGAAACTGACCTATTTGAACACACCACCAAGCCTACCCAATGCAGATGCCACTGAGAGGGGCACAAGTCGCTTTAGCTAATATAACTGTTCTGATGACAGATCAAGAGTCCGAAATCAAAATGCAGGGTAAGAAGAAATTGGCCCAGAACAATAACTGTGCTGGAAATATATATCTTTGCAACACAAGTCCTAGGAAAGAATGATAGGGTTGATGAAAAAGTTCTTCAAAAGAAATGATTTGCCCTGGCACAGTGGTGAAATGCATTTACCTTCTCTACCGGTTTGGAAATGTGTGTGCCTCTTCTGCGCATGCGCAGAGGGTCAAAAATGGAACATAATGATGTCCCGCCAGGTGGGCGGATCCTGTCGCTACCGGCCCTATCAGTTTGCGCGAGCCAGATACATCTGGCTGGATTTCACTGCTGCCCTGGCAGAAAAATTACAGTGATAATTTAGAGCTAACTGTAACATTAAAAGTAGCTAAAACTACCCTTTCCCAAGTTGTAAACCTGACACTCACTAATCTGCCCCAACTCTTCAAAAATGGACAATTATTTAATAAAATAATAAAGTAATAAAAATAAAGTTTTAATAAAAACAAAGTTCTATCTCTGCTTATTCAGTTGTTATTAAAATAGTATTTTTGGTTTTAAAATAATAAATTACTCTCACAAGACACACAGAAAAACTGATCCCCCCAACACCTTTCTGGTCCCTTACTCAGAGCGTGCTCCTGCCACAGCCTGGTTCAAGTAAGAGTTGGGTTTGTCCTCATTTCCTTTGCCAATGGAAAAGCCCACTAGAGAAGGATTGAACTCACGAATAATGTCTAGGAAAGAATGAAAGGCAAATATATACATTACTTTTTCACTTGGATGCAACAACAACAACAACAACAACAAACACCCCCAAAACTAGTCTGGTGATATACTCTAGCTGGATGCATGTCAGTTTGGGTTTAGCCTGGTTTGGGTGCAAAAAAGTTTATGGACATAGAGGAATATATCTCAATTTTCATGATGTCTTGCAGTATCAATTCTGAAGATTTCAACTACTGTACATCATTATATAATTATTGTGATCAGACAATAGCACTGGGAATTTTCTGCTTGACTCTGTCATTTGTAGCCTCCTAAAAGTCTTTGTCTTATCCATCATGCTTTTGGGTATTTTTATGAAACTGGTGGTAAAGGCTATCAAGGAATGATAAGAGGATCTATTAAAAAGCTGTTAATATTCAAATCTATATCTGCTCATTATCTGGTTCCATAGCCATGCAGGTGCTGCATTAGTGTCTGGATTCAGTCATGGATTAGATCAGTGGTGTCAAACTCACGTCATCACGGTGGCATCATGTGACATATCAGAACTTTTTCCCCTTTCGCTAAGCCGGGCGTGGGCATGGCCAGTGCGTGACACATCCGGCCCATGGGCCAGGAGTTGACAGCCCTGAATTAGATGAACAAATAAAGATGGGAGCTAGATGGCTCTCATCACTGGAAATTGGGCATGCAATTTATTTTAGATAGGGATGAGTGGCATATGGGTTTTAGTGTTCTCTCATGTCTGCTGTTCTGCTATTGGAGGGAAGAAAAAGAGAAGAGAGCAATTCATTTCTGGTCTTGAAGGGCAGTTGCTCTAACAGGCCTAATGGGCTGACCTGGCCACTAGCCAGGGCTGGCATGGGGAGATTAGAAGCCCGTTGGTGCAAATAAATATGTAAGTGGGGACTAGAGCC